GTAAGAAATGTACAAAACACATACTTCATCTTCATTATGTTAAATTTGCCTTCGAAAATAAATCGAAGATACAGTACATTTCTGGCCTTAATATTTGCTTAAAACAAGTGCGATATCAAGAGAATTATTCTGGGTTTCGTACTCACTGGATGAAATCGGAGGCTCAGCGAAGACGCAGTGAGTCGCCACGAGCAGCGCCAGCGCTGCGCACCGCCATGTCTGCAGAAAAGCGTTTGGGAGGATTAGACTCGCCCATGCATCACACACGCACGCACACACACGTGCTCGCGAACGGTCCCGGTGCGCTGAAAGCGAGAGTGAACCGGTGAAGGGAGACGAGAGACTCGTCGGCGCCGCGGAGCGATAAAAGAGAAACACCCCCGGATCGGTGTTCGAACCGCCAGCGAGCTAGAATATCATCACTGAGGGTGTGCTAGTCCCAAGTCGCTGGAGACATTGTGGTACTAAAGTGCGACACGCGAAATAAAACACCCGGGGTACAGCAATCGTATAAGAAATAATCCACTAAGTACGTTCGTTTTTTTTCTCTGATTTATTTGACAAATGACAGGAGCTTAGCGCCTGTGAGACTCCCGGTGGGCCACCCCGCAGTACACCCATGCACGGCAGGCGAGATCTTGCCTACCTACCAGGCGCTATGAGGGCTTGCATAGACTAAACTTGGCAGGTTCGTAACGGTGAGTGACGGACGTACTCTTTGGGTCCCTTATTGGCCACGCATGATGGTACCACGTACCACTCTGCCCTATGCACACAGTTAAAAAAACAACTTTGGGGATTTGTATACCAAAATTCGAAGACAGAAGAAAGGAATACGATGCACGCAATTTACCATTATGTTTGTGGATCTATGGGACGACCGCAACGGTTCTGACGGGCTAGAGCTGCCTTACAGCGTCATGAGCAATAATGCACACTGCAATCGCCGTGCAGTTAGGCAACCGGGGGCAGGAACTGGACGCTGGCGCATTTATTTTTATGACATTCCGGGCAAATTTCAAACGATATAATCACGAGAAAATTGTTGGTCGCAGACAGCAAATATCTTTAAAATGATGCAAAACGGAGACGGTTTCATCGAAAGTAACAACTCTGTTTTCTACCTGTTCTTGCTGTGTGCACGCCTTCGCGCTTCAAACCGAAAATCAAGTGAAAGTATAAAACAAAACTCACTTCCAAATATGGATGCAGAACAAATAAATTTCACACTTTACATGATCTTACTCATACTTTGATCCGTGATCTACATTATAATTTACTAGTTAATTCAAAAGTTTACCGTTATGTGTTTTGCACTCATGACGGACTGAACTTTGTTTACAACTGTGCACGAGAATAACAACCGAGCATCTATTTGATTGTCTCAGAATGTGAAAAAGAGGTAAATTTAGTTTGACACACGGCCACCAGAGGTGAACGGTTGTGCGGTTGTTGCTCTCATGTCGTTGTATCGGCTTTCTAATTCACTTTTGCACAAAGAAAAGCAGCCTCCAATCGAAACAGTGTCACTTGATCTCACAATCTTGACGTAAGAACTGATGGAGGTGCAGCACAGCGAGTTATACTTCTTGAATCACATGTCGGCACACGTCTCACACGGGGGGTAGCGTATCCAGATCGCGTAGGGAACCAACACGTCACAACGTCACTTCGCCACTGGCCACTGACACTTACCGGAGCCATGTTGTGTCCTGGTCGGCAGTCACAGACACACAGGATCCCCGGGCCGCTGCCGGGTCCCTTATATCTCCTGACCTTGCCGGCCGGCCCGGCGCAGCCTGGCGGGGGAAGGGAGGGCGCCCCTGGACCTGCACACCTGCACGTGGACGGCGACACCCCCTCCTCCAGGCGAGCCGAGCCCCCAGCCCGGGAGGGGCTCGCCTGAACCCCACCCACCCCCCTCTCCCCGTCCCCCCTTTCGCTTCGCCCCTCTCGCCAACGAGATGCCACACTCCAGCGGAAGTCCTGTGCAGGGAAAGTCCGGGACCCGCGTGGCAGAGCCGGCCGGCAGAGCTGGATCCCTCCTAAAGCAGGTGGGGAAAGGGAGGGGGAAGGAGCCGGAGGAGCCTGATCCTGGAGGAGGTGGGGGTCGGCCGGCCGCCGGCGTCATCAGGCGGGCTTACGTGAGCGCATCACCCCGTATCACTGCGGTGGCTATATAAGAAAAGGAGGGGTACGGGGGGGGGGGTGCTGAAATGCAGGCGAACATTGGATTCTCTCTTCTTCAGAGGCTTACCGAGTGATCGCCGGGGGCGTGCGCATTCACACCCACCGCTTCCCAGCGAGCCGGGGACGTTCGGTCGGTATCCGGGAGGAAGGCGACAGAGGCCAGCACACGGCGACCTGCAAACGATTCAGTGGAGTTGCCTGCAAAAAATGACTGACAAGAGTTTCCACACTCATTTGCCCGCTACATGCCTAAGGACAAATTGTTGTAACTAGCGCCGGACTTCTGTGTTCATACACTCTAAATGGCAAGAGACAATTTTTGTTCGTTCTCAGCGGGACTAAATTCGTATCTCCTACTGGGCAAACTTTGACTTTTTCCAAATTAATGAAGACAAAAATTTGTCACTACTCAGGATGAAAAATTGCATCCTGCAAGATCTGACACAGACAGACGCATCTTGCAAAAATTGTACCTTGCAATTTAGAGTGTAACTGAGTTCAGAGATACAATAATTTTGTAGCTACCATAACACATTCAGTAACAAGCTAGTTACAATTTGAACCCGATCTCAGTTATTCAAGATTTGCGTAGTGACGCCGATACGCTCTGTTTTATTTGGATCCAGATTGGTCTGCAAGATACAGAATGCAGAAAAATACTGATAGTTGCTGGATGCTTGCCTGCCAATCTACTTCAGAAAGAAAGATTTCATATTCAAATTCTGCTTTAATCCTCGCCCTTAATCAAATCACACGGCGGGTGTCGCTCCGGGAAACACCTGCCGCTGGCCACGCGGACCGTACACACTCTGAGCCAAGGTCAGAGAAAGAGGAGTGGGAAAGTGACTCAACTCGGTGCCCTGCCCCCCGCCCCGAGCCGCTCCGCCCCGCTCCGCCCCGCTCCGCCCCGCTCCGCTCGCCCGTTGGGTTACGGCCGATTCCATAACGCCCTTTACATTAATCCGTTACCCTTCCTGCTCCTCGAGAGTACCTGGCCGGTAATGCTTTCAACGAGAGGAAAAGGGAAACACCGGGCGGGCGGCGTTGCCTGCGAGTGAGCGGGCGCGGGCCTAAACCTGTACAAGAGGCTAGGGCGTGGCCACCTATAAACTGCCCAATCCAGAGATTTCACCGTAGGTCGGAGAGGTCACAGAGCATTCAATGGGCCCTTCTCTGGCTCCGGGCTGAGCGCCGCCAGGACGCCCGACTCCTCTCCAGGCTGGAGACTCCAGGTCACGTCGGTGGTAGGCGCATGGCCTGCTTCTTACCCCCATTACCCCCCCCCCCCCCTTCTTTTTCTAGTCACGCTGCGCCTCGCTACGCCGCTGATCCTCTCGACCACAGACGGCCTAGACCGGAAAGGGCTGACCGGGAGGGCCTTGGTCCAGCAGCAGCCGTTCGGCGCCCATCACCGGATGCTGCGGATACCACGCTGGACCAAAGCCACGGCGTGCAGTACATTCCGGAAAAAATACCTCGGTTTGCCGATGGTAATGATGACCTGCCAACGCACAGTGTGTCAGCGGGAGGCGGAGGGGGGACGTCTCGAGGGCGAGGACTGCTGATTGAGCTGAGCGCCCGTCGCGCACGCCCCTGGCCCGGCTCAAGGTAAAGGTGAAGCGCCTCCACCCGCTGAAGCACCTCGTGGAGCGCTGTGCTCATCACCTGCATGAAGTTTGATCTGGCACTTACAAAGAATCTGCCATATCTGAACCCTCGCAATAAAGTTTTAGCTTTTGCAGTATAAGACAGCAATAGGCTGCACCCAGAAAGTGGTAGTCTTGGAACAAGGCGAAATGTTCGTTCGATTAAATGCCTTTTTTTCCGGTTACCAGCAATGAATTTTGAGGCAGTTCATTATGTGTGTTGTAGTTACTTAGTCGGAACAAAACAGGTGTCTTCTTCCGCGGACGCCCCTTTTCGCGGCGTCACTGCCCCATCTCTCTGCCCCCCCCTCTCTCTCTCTCTCTCTCTCTCTCTCTCTCTCCCCCCTCTTGGTCCGTCACAACAATGACGAAACAGGCGAGATGCAGCCGGGTGCAGTCACCTGAGTAACCTGCCGGTGGGGCGTGGAGGTGGCGGGGGAGGAAGGCGAGGACCCTCACGGTCCTGGGTGTCGGTGGCGGCTGCCGCTTGCGTCACTTCTGTGTGTTACTGTGTTACTGTGTTACTGCATCCAAGGTCCCGCGTAGTCAAGGTCCGAGTTTACACTGTCGACCCTTTTTTAACATAGAGGCACACGGAGGAATAAGATTCTCTAAAATACATTAGGCCACCGTGGACTTAATTAAGAATATTGAACCTCACAACTAGTAGCAGATGGTACAGAAGTGCGCGGCGTGAATCAGTCACCTGCTATCAATAAAGTATAGGAAACCGTTCAATGAAATTAGTTGTTCCAAAAACATCAACAAAAATTATATTCGTATGTAAAGAAAGAATGATATGTTGGGGTTAGCCCAAAATCGGTAGGGACCATTCTTGTGGTAGTGAACAGTGAACCCGGCTCCGCGCGCCACCGTCACTTGTGATTCACTGGGGCTGCTACTCGTGCTCTGGATTACACAGAGCCTCTTCTACAACAAAGTGGGTCAGGCGCCTCCTGCGAGTGCTTTCGTGCGAGAGTGAGCTGTATTGGATTCTACTATGCGCATGCCACTTAACGCACAGCGTGTCTCGCAAGTGTCGAGCCCCATGCTAAATTGTAGATCGGTCCTTCCAAAGTCACTGCTAAAATGACACTAATCTGTGCAATATCCCAACCAAATCCATGATTTTTGACCGATTGCTCCCGAACAGTCGGATTTCTAGTCTTTAGGACTAAAATAGGAAGAACTGAAAGAGGCATCACATCTCAACTGAAACTGACTGATGATGATGCTTGTTAAACAACCACCATTGCACGGTGCGGGCCGAATCACACAGCACCGAGAGTACAGTGTTTTGAGACAATAGTCACTCTGCTCCACTTCGGGTTTGCTGTATACAAGTGTGGTAAATTTTCAAAGCCTTGGCCCACGAAAATCAAACTAGCAGCTGTGAATGCTCTCCTCGGATGGCGCCTTGACCTCTGACTCTTTCACACTCCTTTGAATGTGCAGAGGTGTCCTGACCCTGGGGTGCCTAACTTGTTACCTCTCCGCCACCGTCCTAGAATCCAGTTTGAACCGTTGCAACAACATAACAACAACAACAACAACAACAACAACAACAACAACAACAACAACAACAACTCTCATAACGCCGCAGCACTCCCCCACCTTTATGATCCCATTGTTTCATACGCAACCGTCCCGGACCCCGCCAATCGAAGTGACTTTGCTTCCCGGAGGTGAAGAGAGCTTGTCGAAACGTAGCTGTTTGTCTTGAGACGCAGTCCCCGCAGCCCTCACAGCTTTAGCCCAGCCTTCACTGGTCCCAGCTCTGAGGGTGGTAATGGGGCTCCCCCAGGTCCCGCGGCCTAGTGCGGTGAGAGGAAAAAGTACCACTGCGTATATAGCGCGGGATCAGAGGAAAAATACGTACTACACGGTCGTGAAAAAAACAAAACAAGGGAAACGTGGGGAGCACAAAATTAACAATGTGAAAAATTGTCGTACCGGGCACAGGAAAAAGTTTCCATGACGATCGTACAGTTGCAATTTAAAATTGTTAATTTACAAGAATTGCGTATCAACTTGGGATCGAATGGAAGTGAATGAAAGCTTGTACATGTGCGACAAATTTTGTACCTGGTAAATTACAAAATATATCGTACATGTACAAACATAATTAATTGCCACAGTGAATTTCGTGCTAAAAAATAAACTCGTTATTTGGTTGTGGTTGTGGTTGTGTCAAAGCAAAAGTGCGTCTGTCATATGCTCTGCAGATACGAGATTGCCCGATTCGGCCAATGATAGCTCTCATAGCGCCTAATGGGTAGGCAATTTCTTGTCTGTAGTGCAAGCGTGTGCGGCGCGGTGGCCTACCCTGAGTCTCGCAGGCGCCTAGCTCTCATTATTTGAATCTGAGGAACGAATGTTCTTTCTAGACTAACTCAAAGAAGACCAAGTACTGTTCTCAGTTAGAGTCAAACTCTTTTAGGTGTCTGCTTCGCTTAACTAGGCGGCGCGGGTAAACGCGGAGTGTAGTGGAGTCGTATTTCCCATTTATTGCCATTTTCCAAACTTATGATCGTCCTTTTTAAATATGAAGGAACAATGTTTTTTTCTGAAAGGTCTCATCCGATAGTGCGAGCGCCGGCGATAGCTTTACAGGCGCTTGTCTCAATCCATATTTGTGGAAAAATTTCATGGTAGACCAGCGACAGCCGGTATGTGATGTAGTCAGCAGTCCGGAAAAGTGTGTGCACCTCACCGTCGCTCCCTACATTTCCCCAAACAGCAGCGCGGTGTCTCTCGCCTTGTGGCGGCGTGGGGCTGGAGCAGATGAATGACTGGAGTCATCAGTCAAGTGAGAGGAGAGGGAGAGGACCAGGTGAGGCAAGGCATGGGGGAGGGGCGGAGAGGGGCGGGGCTAGCGGGGGATGCGTCACCCCGGTCAGGATTGCATTCGGTCGTGTCGCGTTTCGGAGGCCCGGCCCAGGTCACGCGCGTCCAGGGAGGAAGGGGAAGGGGGGATCAGCTTTCTCATC